TTTTTCAGGAAGGTCTGGGGACTATCAAAGGAGCCAAGGCCACCTACCATGTTGACCAGGAAGCAATCCCATGATCCTGCAAGGCCCACCCAATGTCATTTGCCTTACGGGCAAAAGTAGAGGCAGAAACCAGGAGGCTGGAAGGTGAAGGAATCACCTACTAGTGTGGTTTGAGGAATGGGCAGCATCGGTGGTACCGATTGAGATGCCTGACAGGTTTGTTCACCTTTGTGGGGATTTTAAATTAATGATAAACCGCTTCTCACAGCTGAATAAATACCCAATCCCTCGCATAGAGGAATTGTTTCTTGAGACACATCCTCCCTGTGTCTGCGTGCGTCCCCTCCGGGTGCTCTGGTTTCCTCCCACAGTCCAAAGATGTGCAGGTTAGGGTGGATTGGCCATGCTAAATTGCCCATTGTGCCCAGGAATGTGCAGGCTAGCTGGATTAGCCATGGGAAATAGGGGGTGGGTCTGGGTGGGATGCTGTTTGGAGGGTTGGTGTGGACTTGATGGGCTGAATGGCCTGCTTCCACACTGTGGGGACTCTATGATTCTTCATAACTCTGGGGTGTAATCCATCTGGTCTGGGTGATTTATCCACCTTCAGACCTTTCAGCTTCCCCAGCACCTTCTCCTTAGTGATGGCCTCTGCCCCCTGACTCTCCTGAAATTCTTTGAGGAAGTGACAAAGTTGATAGATGAGGGAAGGGCTATAGATGTCATATACATGGACTTCAGTAAGGCATTTGATAAGGTTGCCCATGGTAGGCTGATGGAGAAAGTGAAGTCGCATGGGGTCCAGGCTGTAGTAGCTAGATGGATAGAGAACTGGCTGGGCAACAGGAGACAGAGAGTTGCAGTGGAAGGGAGTTTCTCAAAATGGAGAACTGTGACCAGTGGTGTTCCACAGGGATCCGTGCTGGGACCACTGTTGTTTGTGATATACATAAATGATCTGGAGGAAGGTATAGATGGTCTGATTGGCAAGTTTGCAGATGACACTAAGATTGGTGGAGTAGCAGATAGTGAAGGGGACTGTCGGAGAATGCAGCAGAATACAGATAGATTGGAGAGTTGGGCGGAGAAATGGCAGTTGGAGTTCAATCCAAGCAAATGTGAGGTGATGCATTTCGGAAGATCCAATTCAAGACCGAACTATACGGTAAATGGAAAAGCCCTGGGGAAAATTGATGCACAGAGAGATCTGGGTGTTCAGGTCCATTGTACCCTGAAGGTGGCAATGCAGGTCGATAGAGTGGTCAAGAAGGCATACGGCATGCTTTCATTCATCAGACGGGGTATTGAGTACAAGGGTTGGCAGGTCATGTTACTGTTGTACAGGACTTTGGTTCGACCACATTTGGAATACTGCGTATAGTTCTGGTCGCCATATTACCAAAAGGATATGATGCTTTGGACAGGGTGCAGAGGAGGTTCACCAGGATGTTACCTGGTATGGAGGACGCTAGCTATGAAGAGAGGTTGAGTAGATTAGGATTATTTACATTAGAAAGACGGAGGTTAAGGGGGGACCTGATTGAGGTCTACAAAATCATGAGGGGTATAGACAGGGTGGATAGCAAGAAGCTTTTTCCCAGAGTGGGGGACTCAATTACTAGGGGTCACGATTTCAAGGTGAGAGGGGAAAAGTTTAAGGGAGATATGCGTGGAAAGTTCTTTACGCAGAGGGTGGTGGGTGCCTGGAACGCGTTGCCAGCGGAGGTGGTAGAGGCGGGCATGATAGCGTCATTTAAGATGTATCTATACAGGTACATGAATGAGCAGGGAGCAGAGGGATACAGATCCTTGGAAAGTAGGTGACAGGTTTAGATAGAGGATCTGGATCGGCACAGGCTTGGAGGGCCGAAGGGCCTGTTCCTGTGCTGTAATTTTCTTTGTTCTTTGTTCTTTATACACAAAGCTGGCAGGTGGGCTGTCCCTCACAAAGCTGGACACTAGCCATGCCTTTGTATATTGGTTCTATTTGTATAATCAAGCAATGTCCTCTTGAAAACCTTAATTAAACCTGCCTCCATCAGACTACTAAAGCAGTCTGTTCCAGAGCCGAATCACTTAACAAGTGAAAACATCATCTCTCACTCATTTTCTTCTTTTGCAAATCATTTTCAGTCTAAGCCTTCTCATTTTTGATTGATAGTAAGAAGTGCTGATGCTGGAGTCAGAGGTAACACAGTGCGCAGCTGGAAGAACACAGAAATGGGGCATTTCTGAAGAAGGGTCCTGGCCCGAAACGTCAGCTTTCCTGCTCCTCTGATGCTGCCTGGCCTGCTGTGTTCCTCCAGCTCCACACTGTGTTATCTCTTCTCATTTTTGCTCCTTTTTCCAAGCGGGAACAGTTGGTTAGGGACAGGGTCACTCTATCTGCTCTGTGTGGCACAACCCCCCCAACTCCACCGCCCCATGGCATTAAAAACCTCCATCAGTTTTCCTTGGAGCCTCCTGGGAATCTGGTGAGGCAATTCCAGAGCCCAAGGCATGAAGGTCAGTGGTGGGGCAATTAAATGGGAGCTTCCCAAGAGGCTGGAAACCGGGGTGGAGTGCCAGGATCACAGAGGATGTGGGTCAGGAGGAGATTCCGAAGATAGGGGTGACAATACCATGGAGAGATTTGAAAAACATCCACTTTAAAAGTAAAAGGATTGTCAGACCGGGGAGCCAGTATAGGTCGGTGGTGCTCGGTGAACATGAATTGATATGAGGTAGGACAAGATTAGCAGAGTTTTAGATGAGCTAATTGAGAACGTCACATTAATACAGAGCTCAGGTTGTGGCTCGATAGGACAGAACTTGAGTACAGCTGAACAAAGTGACATGCCACTTTACTGTAACAACCTGAGTGATATTCTCCACTGAGATAACAAGGTGTAGAGCTGGATGAACACAGCAGGCCAGGCAGCATCAAAGGAGCAGGAAGGCTGACGTTTTGGGCCTAGACCCTTCTTCAGAAACATCATTTTTCAGAAAAAGATTTTTCCGAAGAAGGTTCTAGGCCCGAAACGTCAGCCTTCCTGCTCCTCTGATGCTGCTTGGCCTGCTGTGTTCATCCAGCTCTATACCTTGTTATCTCAGATTCTCCAGCATCTGCAGTTCCTGCTATCTCTGATATTCTCCAATGTCAGGATGCTGTTGCCAAATCAAAAAGAGATTACACGGTGATTAAGAGGGTGTTTAGCACACTTGCCTTCATTGCTCAAACCTTTGGGTGTAGGAGTTGGGACGTCATGTTGTGGTTGTACAGCATGTTGGTGAGGCCTCTTCTGAGGCACCGTGTGCAGTTCTGGTCGCCCTGTTATAGGAAGGATATTACCAAGCTGGAGAGGGTTCAGAAAAGGTTTACCAGGATTTTGCTCGGAATGGAAGGATGGAGTTACAAGGAGAGGCTGATACACTTGATCGAGGCGTACAAAATGGTCAGAGGTATAGATAGAGTGGACAGCCAGAGACTTTTTCCTAGGGTGGAGGTAGCTATTACAAGGGGGCATAGTTTTAAAGTGAGTCGAGGTAGATATAGGGGAGACGTCAGAGGTAGGTTCTTTACTCAGAGAGTGGTCAGGGCATGGAATGCATTGCCGGAGAGGGTGGTGGAATCGGCCTCATTAGGGGCATTTAAGCGGCTATTAGATAGGTATATGGATGATAGTATAAGGTAGGGGTGGAGGTTAGATAGACCTTAGGATTAGGGTAAAAGTTCGGCACAACATCGTGGGCCATGCTGTGCTGTTCTATGTTTTATGAATAGACTGGGACTTTTTTCGCTAGAGCTTAGGAGGTTGAGGGGTGACGTTATCGGTGTTTCTAAAATCATGACAGGCATAGATAAGGTGAATAGCATGTGTCTTTTCCCTAGGGTGAGGGATTTCAAGACTAGAGGTGTATTTTTATGTAAAAGGAGTAAGATTTAAAAAAGACATGAGGCGCAATTTTTTTAATAGAGATTGGTTCATGTGTGGAATGAACTTCCGAAGGAAGTGGTGGATGTGGGTACAGTTACAACGTTTAAAAGAACATTTGGACAAGTACTTGCATAAGAAATGTTTTGAGGGATATGGACCAAGCGCAGGCAGGTGGGACTAGTTTTAGTTTGGGATTATGGTGGGCATGGACTGTTTGGACTGAAGGGTCTGTTTCTGTGCTGTATGGTCTACGACTCTATGTTAATGTGTTGCTCTGTGATGCCAGCTATGTAGGCTATATGTCCCAATGGCAGTGGATCAGGTCAAAGAGCACCTGCCTTCAGCTATCCACAACAGGTACAACGCTGTCCAGCCCTGTACTTGCAAACTCTAGTGGCTCATGTACAAGTGACAGAAAGCACATGGTGCCCTTTGCAAACTGAAGGAACATATCCACACATTGTGCCCTTTTCAACTAAATGTAGTAGCTGCCATTCCCTGGTGTGTAGCCTATGGCGATGCCTTGATTAGTTAGAGTCAACCTACCTGTTTTGTTTTCAAACAGAAGCTTGGCAGTTCCCTGGTGCAATCCCCATGGCAACACCTCTACCAATCAGAGTCCAATTACCAACCAATCAGCACCACCAGCACAGCCCCCTTCTCATGCGCTATTTAGTGCGATCCCTTTGAGATTTGGTAATCTTGTGATTCTGTCCAGACAAGTGGAAGAGGATTTTTTATTCCCCCAACACTTACAGCTGAGGATTTAATCTGCAATGTCACTTTTCTTAAAGAACTTTAACAGAATGATATTCCTCTGAAGGTTGGTTAGCTCAGTTAGCTGGACATCTGGTTTGCGATGCAGAGTAAAGCTAATGGCGTAGGTTCAATTTCTGTGCTGGCTGAGGTCACTCCGAAAGTTGTTCCTTCTCCAACCCACCAAACTGAGGCATGGTGGCCCCTCAGGGTAAAACTCACCAGCGTCTCTCTCTAATCAGAGAGCAGGCCCACTTTACCTTTAATACAAATACGAGACTGGGTTGGAGCATGAGGCCCTGCCATAAACCCTTGGTTTCAGCTTACTGTTTTCACAGCTTGGAGAGCAGATCCCCTCAATCAGCTGCTTGGCTTCGGCCGCAAGGAGTTGTTCAGGACCAGGAAGGGCTAGTCCACTTTCTCTCCGCAGATGCTTGGTTTTGAACACCCTGCAGCAAGATGAGAGGTGCATTAGTTCAGAGATAGTAGGAACTGCAGATGCTGGAGAATCCGAGACAACAAGGTGCAGGGCTGGATGAACACAGCAGGCCAAGCAGCATCATAGGAGCAGAGAGGCACAACGTGTTTCAGCTCATCCAGCTATGCATTCGTAAATAAAAGATCGAAAATTACACTTCATGCACGCTGAGATTCTGGTGACAAGTGAAAGTGGCACTATAGGAGGTTCAGCAATGACACAAATATGCTACACAGTGAGATATCATTATTAATATAGCACAAGCAGAGAACAACAAGAACACTTGCGGTCAAATTAGGACATTTATTGCAACAGCACATTGTTAAATACAGGGCTTCTAGTTATTCATTCACCAAACACTTGAACAGCATTAAAACTTCTCAACCTAGTAAAAGGTACATAAAACCATCCAAAACTAGGTCAAGGGATAGAAATGCAACCTTTTCCTTCAAGAGTATGGCCTTCTGTGACTTGTCTATTGTCACATGACTATGAAAGTGACATTGGGAATTATATGTTTCCTGAGTTGAAAAGATAGGTTTATATCTGATACACTCAGCATTATATAAGCGGCAAACATCTTATTTCCTGAAATCTGTGTGTTATGATTTCAGCTGCTATATTCGAAAGTTGAAGAAAATAGTTTGCTCAGACTTAATTGCGTTCCACGCCTTTGCTTAAAATTCAGGTTCTGTAGCAACATTAAAGTTGCTTGAGTGGTCACAAGTCCAGTTGGACTGTGGTAAAAGTCTGGAGGGCAGACACTGTTACTATCTTTGTCAATCAACCCAATGTATCATGGAGTCCCTACAGTGTGGAAGCAGGCCATTTGGCCCATCAAATCCACACCGACCCTCTGAAGAGCATCCCATCCAGATACCCCCTCTGCCCTTTACCCTCTCACCTTGCATTTCCCATGACTGACCCAACTAGCCTCCCTGAACACTATGGGCAATTTAGTATGGTCAATCCACCTACGCTGCACATCTTTCACAGAGGCCTCTGACCTGACCTGTGCCACCTGACCTTATGACCCTCCAGATCAGGTGATTACGCAGGCAGTGCAGAGTATTCTGTTCATTATCTCATTCAGCTACCATCAAGTATCTGTTGTAGGATGCATTCTCATCACTGCTCACCATAATCTGGTAAATTTGGTACCGCCATCCTATTCCCTGGTGCAGATTTACAGGGAGGGCCCTGCTTGATCTAACGTGGTAATGGAAAAGCACTCGGTAATCTCATGAGAAGCGGCACTTTTCCTGATCAAGATGTAGTTTACTGCATGATAGCAACTAGGTGTAAGTTACATTGATGTGACAGACATTGTTACAGAGAGTCAGGTGTTAAGTGTTTGCTCCTTTCAGATCCAAAGGTGTTGCCCCCACCTGCACAAGTCTTTATTAATCATCAGAGCCCAAGGCACTCTTCAGCATTAAACGTTTCACACCCTTACCAAACTGATTCCTGGCATGGCAGGAATGACGTGTGAAGAGAGACTGCACTGGTTAAGACTATACTCACTGAGTTTAGAAGAATGAGGGAGATCTCATAAAAATCTATGAAATTCTAACAGGACTAGATAGGGTAAACTGTTCCTGATTGCCAGGGAGACCAGAACCAGAGGTCACAATCTAAGGATATAGACTAGGCCACTTAAGACTGAGCTAAGGAGACATTTCTTCACTCAGAGAGTGCTGAGCCTAAAGGAATTTCTGCCGCAGGAAGTGGTTAAGACCAAAAACATTGCCTGCTTTCAAGAAGTTAAATTTATTTGGTAGGGACAAAGGAATCAAAGCATAAAGCAGGAACAGGGGCCTGGGTTCGATTGAAGGGTCTGTTTCTGTGCTGTATGACTCTATGACTGTATCAGCCATTATCATATTGAATGATGGAACAGACTCGAAAGGCCGAATGGCTTACCTTGTTCCTATTTTCCAGGTTTCCAAGTTGACAGCCGTCTACAACAATATTGAATACTCAAGTCATCACCACAACAGGCTTCCCTCACCATTTGCTGTTATTATTCACTGCCAGTATCTCCCCAGCCTGCTGCTGTCACCAATATTAACCACATGTGTGTCACGGAACTACATTCCTTCCCACTGCCCATGTGCATCCACATGTCCCAGGTACTGCCCAGCTAATAAACCCATCAAGAGACACAGCCCTTAAACCGATCCATCCAAACTATACAAACTAACAACAGCTCAACACTGCAGTAGGTTATATCTACATTATTTTAGTCATTTTAGAACAGAGCACATGGCAATAGATAACAAGGTGTAGAGCTGGATGAACACAGCAGGCCAAGCAGCATCAGAGGAGCAGGAAAGCTGATGTTTCGGGTCATTTCTGAA